TCTGCTGCTGCGAAGCACACGATTTCAATGTCAATATTTACACGACAGTCGCACCAATAAACATGAAACATAAAAAGCCAGCATGCTGTTTTAATTGCTTGTCTCGGAGGAGAATTCTTCCTAGTTTGTCCAGTCGGTGAAATATGCATAAAGAAAGTTTATCGCTTGAGAAAAATCAAATTAAAATGCTCATGACATATTAAAATTAATCACGCCAGCTTGCAGAAAAAGGAGCGCCATAAAAAATAACGAGAGTGTGAATAGTCGAGCACCGCAGAGATGAGAAAAGCTGGAAAAAGCAAGTCAAGGTCAGATTGGGGAATCGATAAAAGTTTGTCGTCGCCGCCTGGCTCGGAAAAATGAAAATGGAAAACGAAGGAGGACACATTGAGGTCACCGGTTATTGTTATTGCTCCGGGGTTGGAACGCATATCAAGTAACTGACATTGCTACAGATATTAATAATGTAGAGAGGACTAAAAAAAATGAAGTAATTTATAAATTTTGTGGGTTTAGTTTGATTTTTGATAATATATAAAAGTCCCTAAAAAGTTGAAGAAATCTATACCAAAATGAGAAACCAATCACATTTTTTATTGTAATACCCAAAAATGAATATGTCTTATGTTTTATTAATCACAAAACTCTTATTTCAGTGCATATATTTCATCATAAAATATATATTTTTACCGCAATGGAGAGACTGCGCTGAGAGCGGCCAGTGCAGTTCATCTAAAATGATACAGAAAGAGACGAGGGAAATGTTTGGGTCAGTATACAAGCTCTGTTATTAATAGCCAAAGGTTGATCAGATGATGAAAGATATAGTTGGATGACCATGATACTATAACAACCGTGATATGAACAAACAGAATCGGAACTGAGTGGAGCTCATTAAAGCGTAGACATCATCGCACGTCAACTCGGGGAAATGTTCAAACAAAAAATAAAAGTTGGGAAACGATATTTCCGTTTGGGGGGTTTTGGGGGGGTACAAAAAAAAAACTATGACCGAGACACAGAATAAAATCACGGAAAGCACAAAATAAACAATAAAGAGCAGACGCGAAAAAAGATACAGCTAGCAACAATAAAAGCACATCAAAATAAATCAAATAGGATAGAATAATATAAGGGTTCCCGACTATTTAATGACCTGGGTGACGATGAAGATAATGAAATGGTTAGGAATGTAAATATTATATTTAATATGTAAGCCAACAATTTACAAGTTTACATTCATATTTGTAAATTAAAATTTGTTTAGAAAGATCTATAAGTGCTAAGTGTAAATTAAATACAAGAAAATAAAAACCAAAATTAGAAATAATTGTAAGCCAAAAGGTTTTATTATTATACCTTAATTTTAGTATTTCAATAAAATAAATTTTTTACAAAATAAATATTATAATTAGTACTCAAAAGTCTTTTTAGTTTATAATCATTATGCTTAGTTTTCAAAATTCGTATATACCCAATCTATCAAAAATCATATAGGGTAATGACAGTAGAAAATCACTTGAGCCATGACCATTTTACCTACTCCACTTCATACTCTACACTCCCCTCTAACCCTTCACCTATTGGGTAAAAACCCACTTTAAACTAACATAAATATATACATATATGTATGTATTTTTAGCTTTCAAAAAGCAATAAAAATGACATTAAAAAGAGGAAATCCCCAGAAAGTTTTCAGGGTTGTGACACATTAAATAAAACTAAAAATTTAAATTGTAAGCAGTTAAACAAATTAGATGTTCATTACGTGTGCTAACTGATAATTTGTAATATAATCAAATGGATTTATTGATCAAATAAAACCGAAAATTACAAGCAAAATGTCAGCCATAGTGATTTTTGTTGTCTGAGTCGAGATTTGGGTTGGTGTTTATCAACTTATAAGGAACCTCTTTATATACATACATAAATTTATATATATATATTGTGTATTTTTGTATATAGAGGTGCTCAGCATAATTGGGAGATGAGGTCATGACATAAAAGGTAGAGGCTGCCTTGAAATTCTTAGGAATTGGAATACTCAAAGCTATTTCATTCTCATAAATCATGCGGCTTCTTAAGAAACTGCCTTAGCATTTTATTTTATTTTGTAAACTTTAATACTAATAATAATAGTTGAATCAAGGCTTTTACTGTTTCTTAAATGCTTTCTAATAACCAACTTAAAAGGTTTATTCACTAGTAAATAACTATTTTTAAAAGCCTTGAGTTTAAATTAGTCAACAGGTTGCTGTTTAAATCACTTTAAGTTTCCTGAAACTCATTTACTTATATAAATTCCATAGTATACTGTTTCCTCAAATATTTTCTCTCATTATAAAGTCGCAATTCGCTGACGGTAAAATAATTCCAGCTTCTCCAGGTCTCCCCTTCAAGAGCCCCTTAAATTTTTAATGCCAACCGCACAGACGATATTTACTTTGATATCGGATAACAGACTGTGTGCGGCACATGTGCGAAGCAATAACTTGGCAAGTATTTTAACGAAAACATATAAACAAAATGGTGTGTATAAATAAATAGAAGGGAACCATTAAAATTAACAAAGAAACTGGGTATGTAAGTTGGGGTTAAGTAATGCCCTGACACATAAGCTCTTTATCTTTACGGATATTTATAAATGTTTGTTAAATTTTGTAAAGTTCATTATGTTGACCCGCTGAACTATATTAAACCAACAAATTGTTGGTTGCTATAATGAAATATTTAATTAGTGTGTTGGAAGAGCGGGAGAAATTTTCCTAAAAAAAAAAATACTGTCATTTTGGATGCGCAAATCCCCATGACAGCATGGAAGAGTTTGAAGAGAAGAGCTGACGATGACCCACTGCAACCCACTCAACCACCACAACCACTCTTCTTCTTATTGCCGATGAATTTATCTGTGCACTGAACAAAAATATGTTATTTGTTAAGCAGTTTTATATTTTAAATGCAAGTTTTATATCTATAAATATTATTTGTTGTAGTTTTCTATCTTTGAAGATAAGCTCCATATCTTTTCTACTTAATTTGTATTTATTACTTAAAAGGTATCTTCAAAATACTTTTCTTACAGCTAGCGTATCTTTATTAGTTTTTCGATAAATAGAAATATATAATACTTTTTTAAATAACTTTTTTTTCCAGTGCAACTATCGACAACTGTGTTAGATACCCATAAGCAATGCTTATTATGGTTTGATTGCCTGTCGGATGGTTGATTGCTGCTGTAAGTCAACAATTGCTTATCATTTTGGCTTCGACTCTCACTTTACGCACTAATTGAATTACGGATGAAGGTGGAATAGGAGAAGGAAGAGGGAGCTAAAGAGGAGAACAGAATGACAGAGTGGAGAAAGAGGAACCACCAGAACCACACCAACACACTGTTAATTGACATTGGAAGCGTGGCTAATGTCGCTCTAATATGATTTTCGTTGGTCTATAATAATGCAATTAGTGGGTACTATCAATAGGAGGAAACGAGGAGCTCACAGAGACCATATTCCTGCTGGCAACACGTGGGCCGAAGCCCTTGAATAATGAAGTCACACCCCAAGTTCAAAACTGGTCTGGATATTTACACATTTACAGGGCAATGTCTGTATAGAATATCTTTAAAATGTTTAGATAAATACTTATATACAAAGATACTTAAATACAAAGGTTCAAGAATAAGTTTAAACACTAAATTAATCTGTTATTTTTCTTATCAAGTTAGTATTCTTAGTGGCACTCAACGAATAAATCTGAAACTGAATGTAAAGTACTAAACTTTCTGATAAGAAACTTGAGTTTCTCTGGAAGTCAAGGCCTGTAGATTAAATAAGTATTTAAATATTAAAACTGCTTTGAAAACTTTAAGTTTATGAGCAAAACTAAACTGTCAGAATTATTTAAGCCAGATAAGACCTAAAATATCTCTCAATTAGCCACCCTAAGGAGTTGATACTGTATTCTACAATGAACCTCATTATCGTTCAACATGAATATAAACAAAAGTGGAAGCTGTGAAGCTGTGGAATTTCGAATCTCACGGCCTTGGCAGATTCTCTTGGGAGTTCTCGCCGGGTCTGGCCTACGGAGCTAAGAACCTGCATCTAAAAGATAAAAAACAAGTTTTCCCTTTCCCTCGCACTAAATGTGTCTTAAATGTTGATTCTTCTTATGCAACGACTGATGATGTATGAAATATTTTCCCTTATAAAACATTATGATCTTGATGATATGTGCTAAGTGAAAAGCAAATATTATTAAAATTCAAAACATATTGGATGTGTGCCAACAGAAGGGGAAAATATGTCTAAAGGTACAGTTGAGGTTAACAAAATAGTGGGTCTTTATAAAAATATTAAATAAAAATAAATACAAATTTTATTTGTAATAATTTATCAAATTGAAGACTACAATAATTTTGTATTCATATAAATTATTTTAAATCTTTTGGAGAATTTTTGGACACTTTCTTTGTAAATCGTAATATAAAAACTCCTAAGTAAAAAACATAAAAACTCCTAACACCTGAGGTTTTGAGTTTCAAATGACTCAACAATATTTACGTATTTCATTTTTGGATTTCTAAAGTGACTTTCGTATTTAATAATTCATTCTGTAAAATCTATTAGATATAATATCTTGACCACAACTGTATATTTTTGAATGTGTGTTGCAATGTAGAAAATGTGTGGGAAATTCTGTTGAATAAACCAAAAAAAACACAAAGAGTAAATTTGCATTCAGACAAATTCTATATAATTTAATTTTAGTTTCACGTATAAGCATCCCCCACGCATTTCGAAAAAAAAAAATACAAAAAATAAGGTAAACAAAACAAAGGTGACATGCATTGCTGGAGACACACCCACACACACACACACACACACACAAAAGAACTGCACTTTTGAAAACGAAAATAAAATAGTGAAAACAGAGGGGAGAGTGAGCGAGAAGGGGATAGAAGGGAATAAAAACAGTGCTTAGTAGTAGGAACTTACCAAAACGGCGCTCTCTCGGACCAGCTGAGATACATTCTCTCTCATTTGCACCGCCGAGCCGAGCTTATTCAAGCCCCGCGTAAATTTTCGCTCCATTCTGCTCTCCCTGTCGCCGTCTCTCTCGTTCAGTTGAAACAAACAAGTTGTTGTTGTTGTTTTGCAAAAACCGGCGGCGATTCAAAAATAGAGAGACACACACAAGCACACATACACGCGGGCAGATAAACGCACGTACACACACGCGCACAAGTGGACAGGATGCGCTGCCGACTGCGCTGCCGACTGCGCAGCTAACGTCGCTGCCAGCGATGACTAATTCGTTATCCTTTTTTTTCCCCTTTGCCTTTTTTTTTCCTGACTTTCCGGCAATTTTCCCTTGAAATATCCGCACTTCTAAGAAGTTACATGACAATTTCTGGATGAAGGATTCAGGAACTTCCTTTTAATTCATGTTATACACAAAAACACTAACACAAGCACGTGAAAATTCCCACGCCCCTTTTTTGTTGAGGGCGGCGAGGAGAAGCGTTGCTATTTTGCAAAAACAACGTACACACAGGGCAGGCTCGAAGCATCCCCGCCGAAATCATAAACAATAAATTCTTTAATGAACTAAACACAGCTGTTTACACCGTTTTATTTGAACTGAATGAAATATTTATTTTGTTTTCTCGTTTCGGAACGGCGTTTGTTTAAAACAAATTGTATCGACGTATCTCTCGTATATATAATTTTGATTTGCCGGCCCCGAAATAATTTTTCCGTTTTTTTGCCGCGCGTTATTTTATAATTTTTTTATAACAGAACCGCTTTCTTGCAAAAATTTCGAATTTCGAATTAAGTGGTTAAAATAAACAGCTAAGGGAACACAGATTCTTGTTGTTTGTTGTCCGCACACCTCGTTCGAAATAAACAATAAAAAACAAGCTGCCCTCGCTATCTACTTTTTCTTGTTTTAAAATTTGGCCCTAAAAAATATCAAACGTGAATCCCCTAAAAAATCCAAAATCCACACCCGATACTCGAACCACATCTGACGCCACAACCTTAGATGAGAGTAACAGAGTTTTGTTTATGGAATTTCACAGAATTAGAGCGTTAACAGAATGTTCAGTTAAAATAACAGCCTAACAGACTTTTGTTTATGGCACATCACGGAATGAAAGCGTTAACAGAAATTTCCGTTAAAATGATTTTCTGTTAAAATGAGAGCTTAACAGGTTTTTGTTTATGGAATTTCCAGTGTGAGAGCAACAGCACTCAAACCGGCGCTCTCTCACTCAATTTCTGGCTCTAAAAAAGCTGCCCACTCGCTATCTATTTGTTTTAAAATTTGGCCCTAAAAAATATCAAACGTGAATCCCCTACAAAATCCACAACGCCTTACACCTTGTAAAGGTTCGAGTCTTGGGTAGATGTAGATAATTAAAAAACGTAGATTTTAAAAAATGTAAAAACTTAATAAAATTGTTAAAAATTGTCTCAATAGACAGGCCGGCAAAATTTAAAATAAATCTAAAAGACGGTTCTTTTTATCAAAACAAAACATACACTTATTTTATTTTTATATCATCAAAATATTTGTAATATAATAATATCTTAAAATATATTTTTAATATACTAAATTTTATTGAAACACAATGTAAATAAATATATACAAAAACTTTTGTTGAAGACTTTTCATTTTTTGTCCGCGATGGAGAGGACCTTGAGTTCATTATTGGTTCTTGTTAATAAATCACTTAAGAAAAATAATCTGTCATGGTTTTTAGTAATTAACACGGATTTAAAAATTTAAAAATGCAATAACATAATATTAATCTCTTAACTGTACAGATTCCTCTTCTTGGTTCTTATCAAACTCTGCAATTCGTGGAATAAAAATTAATACTAGGGAATTCAAGAAACTGCGAAATTATTTTTCGTAGAATATTTTTCCATATATAAAAAGAAGATCGTTATCTTTTATATTGCATAGCTATTAACCTATAAATACAGAGCATTAATAGCATTCTCAGTCAGTGTTTAACAAGGAAACTCAGAATGTTGGGTTACTCGGCAATAATATTATTCTCTCTGGCATTGCCAGGACTCCAAGCGGCGGCCCGTCCTCCAGCACAGTTCGAGTTGATCGGATCCAGGTACTTCTACATCGAAAAGAACACAACGCTTGATTGGTTCGAAGCTGCAAGGACATGCCGTCGGATGGGCGGCGAACTGGCGACCATCCAAAGCCAGCAGGAGCTTCATCAAATCGTACCAAAACTGGAATGGGACTCAAAATATTGGCTGTCTCTTAACGATTTATTACATGAGGGCACATTCGTTTCTATATCCTCCGCCCAACCAGAACCCTTCTTCAACTGGAGAAAAGGGCAGCCCGACAATTACAACTTTAATGAACACTGCGTTAGGGCAATTAACTATTACATGTACGACAGTCCATGTGATTCCAAGGCTCGTTTCATTTGCGAGGCATAAGGTGATGGTTATGGAAAATATATAATAAAATAAATAGAAGAAAGCCGAGCTCTTGAATTATTTATTTTTAATAGAAGGTTAATTTAGATAGAAGGATTTTAGAAGGTTTAATGGTTATGAAAACTTCACCAAACGACTTCCATTGGTAGCTTTGAACAGTGCTTGTCAAACGGCGGCCCGCTGTTAAGGCACCTGCTAACTGTAGGCAGTAGCTACCAAACTGTACAAACTGTAGAAAGAGTCAAAGAAGATTGTGTATGAAAAAAATAAAAATAAATAAATAAATCAAAGTTTGTATACCCTTACAGTATTCAATTAGATCATAATCATAATTATATATTTTATTTTAACAGATTTGCAGTTACAGTTTTACTTTCACAGCTTTGCTTTCACAGCTTTGCATTATTCTCTACATCTACCGATTTATCCTATGATAACTATACGATATAGTCGTCCGATTTTTATAAAATTAAAACCGAAATTCTGCAATAATACAAAATGGTCATATCTTAAAGTAGATGAAAATATGTTGAAAAACAGTGAAGTTGATATGTATATTTTTTTAAATTAGTTTCATGATCATTCCTATGGCAGCTTTATGATATAGTCGTCTGATTTTTAAAAAGCTAAAAGCGAAATTCTGAAATAATACAATAGTACAAGCTGTCGGCCTGTGTTATCAAAACAAAACTTACCCTTTTTATAATGTTTATCATCAAAATAATACAAAATATTTTAAAATATATTTTAGAATTTAATAAATTCTTTCAAATGTAATCAAATGGAACAGTTCTTAATGTAACTATGTATATTATTTTTTGACCGCGGAATACCTTTCTTGGTAAAAGCTTTTTTTTATAAAACCATTAATCATAAAAGTTGTTAAATATTTAATAATCTGTCATGGTTTTTAGTAAGAAACACGGATTTACAAATTAAAAAAAAAACCATTAACTTTATATAAATCTAATAACTGTACAGATTCTTCCCCTTGGTTCTAATCAAATTCTGAAATTCGTGGAAAAATAAATTAACATTAGGCAACTCAAGAATCTGCGAAATTCTTTTTCTTAGAATATTTCTGAATATATGTACATATGTACATATGTATAAAACAAATGTTCGTTATCTGTTGTACTTAATAGCTGTTGGCCTATAAATACAGAGCATGAATAGCATTCCCAGTCAGTGTTTAAAAGGAAAAGTCAGAATGTTGTACTCGGCAATAATATTATTCTCTCTGGCTTTGCTAAAACTCCAGGCGGCGGCCCGTCCTCCAGCAAAGTTCCAGTTAATCGGATCCAGGTTATTCTACATCGAAAAGAACACAACCGTGGATTGGTTCGAAGCTACAAGGACATGCCGTCGTATGAACGGCGTACTGGCGACCATCCGGAACCAGCAGGAGCTGGATCTAATCGTACCAAAACTGGAATGGGACTCTAAATACTGGCTGTTCGTTAACGATTTGACCCAAGAGGGCACATTTGATTCCATATCCTTCAACCCACCCTTCTTAAATTGGAGACAAGGGCAGCCCGACAATTACAACTCTAATGAAGACTGCGTTATGATAATTAACAATTACATGTACGACAGTGTATGTGATTCCAAGGCACTTTTCATTTGCGAGAGATGGGATGTTACTAAAAGAAAAGAAGAAGAAAGCTCATCTGATGAATTGCTTATTTTTAATAGAACGTACGTAAAAGGGGACTTTTAGGAGTTTTAATGCTCATAGGAAGTTCACTAAACGACTTCCATTGGTAGCTTTGAACAGTGCTTGTCAAACGGCAGCAGTCTGTTAAGTCTATGTTAACTGCACACAATAGAGCTCAAACTGTACAAACTATATTAAGATTCGAAGAAGATTGTTTATAATAAAAAAAAAAAAGAAATTTATAATTTCTATTATTTTACTATTTTATAAAATGTCTTAAAATAAACCAAATTCCAACATAATTCAAATAATTATCGTTATTTTCCCCTCAATTAAAAACTCAATAGTAGATTGTTTATATATTCCATATATTTTGCATATATTTGTTGGTGTTTCTATACTTTACACAATAAAAATGATAATGCATCTCAACAAAAACAATTATTCGCGGTACTTAGACAAAGTTCATGCTTGCGTGATTGGTAACTTTTGCTCTTGGAAATTGTTTTCCCAACTTACTACTTTGCTTAATTTCATTTTTGCTCTCTCTCTCTCTTATGTCGGTTATTGGTATCGTTATTGTTAATCGATTAGAAAATAAAGATAGTCATAGATAATTTTGATAGATCCGAATGCGGATCGAGAATTATACAAGGCGCGCTCCTACACATATGTACAATGAATGCGCGCTATGCAAAAGGTATATGATATTCTCGTGAGTCATCGGCTGATCGATGAATTGGTTTCTGCATTTGGTTAAACTTAGAATATAATTAATTAACATACGGTTTAGGTAAAATTATTTAAAGCAACTTAAACTTAAGGTTAACAGTTCCCTCATGCTCTGTTCTGCAGGTGATTCGTTTTAATTTAGAGAAAATCATATCAAGTCGATTATAATTTAGTTATCGTCGATGTCGATTATGGGGGGGATGAGGTGTGAAACGAGAGTCACAGTAACAGTCACGGCAACAGTAACACTTTACGGGTGCGACTAACGAACGAGTAACGGTTTTGTAAACCTCAAAACTCTGCGATTATAATCATAATATGTATGCATATCGATATCGATCTCTGTGTGTGATGCTTTCTCTACTTAGGATGGGATCTGGAATAGTTCTTTAGGTTGTTAATTCTTGCGTTAAATATGCTTAAAGACTTATATTATATATTTGGTGTACTTTTTTGAGTTTTGTGTTGTGTTTTTTGCTTTAGCTGTTTTATCGCCTTGTTTTTGTTTTGTTTTTTAGTTTAGTTTGTAACTGTTTGTTTGTTGTTTTATATATATTAACTTGTCAATATGCGCATGCCTGCTGCCATCTGTCCGATCTCTATAGATCTTCACATCTACAGCTACGTAAACTAAATATAATACAGTTTTTGTTTGTTTTCCATTTCGTTTGGGGTTTGTTTTTTGTTTTCTTTTCGGGGCTACGCCACTGTCTCTGCTTATCAACTCGCCAAACGCCTGACTCCCTCCAAAGTGTTATACACGGCACAGTGGTTACTCCTCCTCCTCCTTCTACTCCTGCCTCGTCCAAGGACTGCGTTTTACGCTTAGATAGGCGATATGGAGAGCGGAGCTGCTGCTGTATCCGGCATGTATTCCTTGAGAAGATCCCGTAGTCGCAGGATCTCTCTACCAGCCGCCGATAGGTCACCCTGCAGGGACAGTTCCCGCTCCCTTAGCCGCTTGATGTCGCGCTGACAGGTCTAACAGATAGAAAGGGTTTCGGCTTAATACATTTTCCATAATCTCTTTCAAGTTTAATAAAAATACCCACCACATTCTGCCTGAGTAGGTCCAGCTTGTCGCACTTCAATCGCGTGACCTCCTGGCGCAGATTTTCAATCTTCATGATCGTCTCATTGCTGGGCGAGCTGCCCATCATGGTGGACTGGACACCGTCCAGGCACAGGGAGCAGGCCTTGGTGGTGGCCTCCGCCGAACTCATGCTCTCCAGCCCCGTGTCGCTGTCTATGTAGGTGGCACCGCCGTCCAAGTGAGCCATCATTGGGTCAAGATCCACGCTGTTCAGGCTGGAATCATCGCTGGTCTCGGACATGGTTGCCACGGCCACCACGCCATTTTGGGCGGCACTTGCTACTGCTGCGGCCACGCCTCCAGAACCATTTTGGGGCAGGAGTCCCCCATTGGAATTGGAGTTACTGTTGATGTTGTTGTTATTCGCCTGGCGAGAGGTGATGTCCGGCGAGGAGGAGGTGGACTCGTTAGAGGATTTGGATTTGGACGAGGACTTGGAGGCCGTACGACTGCAGGTCTGGAGGTTAAAAACAGATAATGGATTAGGAAAATGAAGTTATTGTTTATTTATAATATAAACTTACATTCAAATTGGGTGTCTGCATTTCGGGATGCGCCTCCTTCTTGGCATTCAGAGTGCCCAGCTTGGTGTTCACACTGAACTTATCCGTCTGCCCGGGTCCATGTCCATTACCGGTATCCACGCTCTGGGATCGCACCCGCATGATCAGGGCCTTCTTCACCGTGTCTATGAATCGGGAGCCGGCATTTCCTCCGCTGCCGCTCTCCGCTTTTGGGGTCTCGGGGGTGGGACTGCCGGCGGATGTCTGAGAGAGATCGGCGCCCAGAAAGTCGCGTGTCTTCTCGCGCAGCTCTTCCACCAAGTTCTGGAGCAGCGAGGTTCTGGTGCGCAGCTCCAGCTTGGCGAACTTCTCGGCCTTGTAGCAGGCATTCTCCGCATTGATCAGCTTGGTGAGAATGAACTCCTTGAACTCCTGACCTTTCCGGAAGACAGCCGGATTGGGGAGCGTGGGTCCGAAGAAGGGCACGTCGTCGCGGGCCGTAACGCTGACCTTGTAACGGGTGTGGGGAGTATTCGGTTCGATGGGCTGCACCACGATGAAGGCGTGCAGGAAGTGACTGGCAATCATGTCCGGCGAGAAGGGAGTGTTGGTCTCCTGGAAAACGATGGCCACAATGTCGTTGCCGATGTGCCGCTTCCTCTGCAGTTGCTGCGGATCGCCCTCGGTGTGGGGCAGCAGGGTGGACACATGGAACATGACCTCCCGCTCTTTAAAGACCTCGTACACGGCCGTGTCGCCAGTGTGTCCGTTTTGGATATCCAATCCACCCCTGTAGCCTTTGTGATCCTTGAGACGAATTCGCTGGCCCAGGACGTCCAAGAACTCGTCGAAGGCCGGCGAGGTCATCTGGTTGCCGAACAGCTCCTCCTCGGTGGTCTGTCCATATCTTTGGTAGAGCACTCCGAACTTGAAGTGCGAAACGAGGACATGTTCGTCATAGACGCTGATCAGCTGGGAGGCCTTGGGGCACAGCACCGGCATGAAGTGGTCCACCTGGATCTGATCATTCAGCAGCCGCACCATCTTCAGGGGACTGGGTTGGGCGCCTAGGCACGAGACCGGAATCAGTTCGTGCATCGTGCCAGTTCTCAGCCGGAGCAGGATACGCATGTGCTCCTGGTTGGCCACATTCTCCGTCTTGATGGATATCAACACAGGGCCCAGCTGCTCATCCTGACCCACCAGATTCGAGTGCTCCCTGGCGGCATAGAATCTCCGATAGCACTTGGCCGTGTCGTCCGTTTCGAACTTGGCCATCCAGGTGGTCTGCGGCAGCAAGGGATTACCCCTGGCATCGTAACCGCACTCGTGCTCGGTCCCATCCAGCCAGTAGCCGCCAAGCTGCGGCAGCAGGATCATCGGATAGGGAGCCGACTTGGCCAGCGCCTCCTCCAGCAGTCTCTGCGAGGCGGGAATGGCCGAGACGATGGAGGAGTTAGAGCTCACCGAGGACTGGGACTGGTAGTGGTGTCCGTTGGACAGCATCTGGCATCCGGAGGCGCTCACCACGCCACTCAGCTGTGGGGAGGCGGGCGTGGAGCTGCAGGCGGAGCCGGACACTGTCGAGGTGCTTGAATGGTTCATCGAGTGGCGAAGCGTGGCCCGCGAACCCGAATGCTGGAGGCCACCGTTGTGCGGATGGGCGTGGCTATCGTGGGGCGAGTGGGGCTGTGGCACACGCTCCTCGCTGGCGTTGCTGCCGCGATGGTGGTTCTGTGGGAAAAGGAAAAGATTTTAAATTAGTTTCTTAAATTGTTAAGAAAGTTAAATATATATTTCTATACTGATTACAAGATATATAGTTATGTCTGCTTGATCCTGAGTGGAAATAAATATAATTTTCTATACCCATTCGCTGACTTGATTGTGTGTCAGAGGACCATGTGTGGCAGCTCTACCCAGTCCCAGTCCCAGTCCCTAGCTCCACACACACAACTGGGGCCTGATTATGTGTGTGGGTGCCACAGTGGAGCCTCCCACATGGCAACGAACAAAAGAGCGGCTCGGCAGCACACGGCTGCATTATAATTTCATGCAATTATCGTCGACGAAGACCCTCCCCCCACTGCTCCGCATGCAAATGTCCCGGGACCCGAGGCCATGTGGATGGATTGGATAATGGCAGAGCAAGCGAAAGCACCATGGAGCGCTCCAAGTGGTGCAGCCAGCGACTGTCGATGCCTTTGCAATTTTGTTGGCACAAACTATTTGCAAAAGCGCCAAACAAATATGGCAGTGGGTATATGGGTGGGTGTAGAGAGGGGCGTGTATTACGTGATGGATTTGCGCAGAGGGAAACTCACTCGGTTCGGCTGGGTTGAATTTTTGATAACATTAAGCCAACAATTTTCATTTGACATGAGCGGAGGACAGGAGGAGCAGAAGCTGCTGCCTTTCCCCTGCAAGCATTTCCTTTTCAATTCCTGGCGCCACTCGAAGCTTTTGTCTAGTCCCTAAACAAGCGAGCATATTAAAAACGTTCCCTGCTTTTTATTTGCACATAACAGTTTTTCCATTTCTGCGATTCTTTTGTTGCACTTTCAGGCGCCTGGCCAGCAGCCAAATGGGGTTAAAGGGTTTTCCGAAAGGGGTTAAAGGGAGTGTAGAAGTTAAGGTTCATCGATAGTTCGTGCCTTGATTTAATGGTCTGCCGGCTGCCAATTGCAACTGCAGCTGATGGCTGGAAGTAATGAGACGCCAGGAAGTTTTGGGGAAAGGAATTTCGAAAAGAAATAGGTTTGACACAGACTGGAGGAGGAGAGACACTTTGACAAGCACTATTGGAACCTCTCACTTCCACCATCGATTGCAAGGTTAGCCCGAGTCTGTCGATTATTCAAGCCGAGTGGTTTCCAGTTAGCCGACTGCACCGCTAATGAATTGCATTGTCAGTCATTTGGGTGCATATCCAATGGATTTTGACATCCATCGCTCAGGCATTCGTGTATCTGTATCTGTATCTGCATTAGTATATGTATCTGTATCTGTATCTGTATCGTGTGAACCAAAACAATATGCAAATGCTGTGTTTCCTACTGCAACTCCCTTTGGCAGACAAACAAAACGAATGTGGCAATTGAGGAAAATTAATAAATTTTGTTGTAACCCTAGACAGTCACTAGATGGATGGTTGGATGGGGAATTAAATGGAAACTAGAGCTACGAAGCTATGGAATTGTGGAACTGTGGAACTGGAGTGGGCTTGTTGCAGATACTGCTCATAGAGAGACCGGTCACGTCACACGCTTAGTTGGCTTCATTGGCCGAGGGCGGTTGCCCTTTTAATGTTTGCTTAAATGGCAAATGGTAAATGGGGAACTAGGAAATGGGAAATGGGAAAATTGGGAAACGGACAAGGGGGAAACCCAGCCCCGAAAATAGATAGTTAGTTAGGCTAAGGCTAAGCTAACAAAGGAAGTCAGCTAGGCAAGTGAGTCATCTAATAGGGAAAACTCACACACAAACTTACTCTTCATTTTTCCCTTAGCTAATTTGTCTAGATTTCCACTTTGGCAATTGGTTTTCGGGTTTTGAGATCTAATTAGGAAAGCATTTGTTTGGAGGCTGTAAGAGTAGTATTAAGCACAGCCGATGGACGACAACTGGGCAAACCGGAAAAGTGCCAAAGTTAAATGTAATAAAGTGGAAAGCATGACGAATGTAGAACTTGCACAGAACCAGAAACTCAACGATGACAATCATAATGCCGACGATGATGATGTTTATGTGCCGATTCCAAGGAACTTAAGCGGATTACAGTCAGCGCGTACACACACGAGCCACAAGATGGGGGAAAAGTGTTACGAGCTGAGATCTAAAAGAACATACAAGAGACAAAGCACAGAGCACAGAACATGGGGCAGAAATGGAACCGAAAGCGGAACTACAGCCATATGGTGGCTTGAAGATGGGGGCATGAAGTACACAGAAAAAAAAGGTGAATAGAAGTAAAATTTATAAAAAAATTAGAAGGATTTCTAGTAGTAAAATCAGTGGGGGTTTCCTTGTTTAAAATGATTTTTCTGCTCAAAACAGACTTTTCTAGTTGTAACTTTTCTTCTTAAGCTTCCCTGGCTTAATGTTTATTAATATTAGTATTTCCCTATTTTTCTCTCTCTGTATAGTGGCATCATTTCGAGGTTAGTGGGGTAAAGTGAAGAGCAGGAAGGGCAAAGGAGGAACCCCTACGGCAAAGTCATCTCCTTCGATTTGCATACAACGAAGGGCAGCGATCTCTCCTCACTCTACTCAATCCTTGTCCCTTGTCTGGTCCTATTTTTCCCCTGAACAGACATCCCCCCATGTGTGCAAAATCCTGCGACGTTGCCAAAGTCAACAGCGTTTCCTTGTTGTTTTTATTTTCCATTTTTTTTCTTGTTATTGTTTCAGCCTCAAGTACAGGCGGGGCGTCATTAAAAATGTGCATTTTGCATCCAACGCCCTCGCCTTCTTCACAAAATGAAAACAAAAAAACATACAACAAAAGCACAGGAAGCTTGGGGCACCTAAAAAAGATGGGAAACAGTCATTGCCAGAGGGTTTGGCAGCCACTGCAACGCCTGCGAAACTGTTAATATTATTAATATTATTCCCTGTTTCGCCTTTGTAAATATTTTATGCAGTTGGCATTGCTCAACTTGGAAAGTGTGACACATGGCGAGTTCTCCAAGTGATTGATATATGTGTGTGCTGGGTCCTACGCACGTGAGACAGGAAAAAAAGGGGGGATGGATATATGTTATGGCGACAAATCCACAATCCCCCAGAGCACATGATTTATTCGTGTCTCCGAGGGTGAAACAAAAACACACACCACACAAGTCAGGCTCGAGATTGAAGTGCTTAAATCAAAAACCCATAAATCACAAATGTCAAGTCGAGTCGAGAATTAAGCAAATGTCCTGCAACAATTTAAGGGGAATTTCAAAAGTATTAAAATGTTAAAAATAATAAGGCTTGCTCTGGAGAGTTCATAATTCATTAAAAACCTATTTTTAGAAAGCCTAAAGATCATTAAGTTTTTTAAGGCCTAGCAGAACTCTATTAAAACCGCTAGACTCCACTCCTAATAGGCCAAGCTCCAGCTGCGACGCACTTTAGAACCTACTGAAAGCTGATCTTTCTCAACTCCAGAATTCGTGGCACGTCTAACTGAGTTGAGCTGAGCACGAATGTTATGTTTGAAACGCTTTCACAAGCTTAATTAACATACACTCATGACTGAGCAGAACAAAATAAGTGTTAAAATGGGCATACAAAAAAGAAGTTCTCATATCATAAATTGTATATAAATATTCCTAGAAGCTTTGGCAACTGCAATCCGAATGAGATCATGTATCAAGTGTGCAAATGAGTGTCTTGGAGTGAGCTCACACACCCAGAGAGTCAGCTTTTTGGGGGCGTTTATTTGTGTTTGGCCAAAATCGCTTTGGCCAACTGGTTCGTTTGGTATTTATTGAACACCAAACACGGCCTAAATATGGCAATCATTTGTTAAAGTTGCTACAGTTTGGCGACAATTTCATTAGCGGAACAAAGCCACGAAAAAAACGTAAAAGCGAAAGGCAACCAAAAATGATTTCAAGTTTAACCATAAATTATGCAAGCTACCTGATTGATTTTTAAGATCCCCTAATTAATAAAAAATATCATACATTATTCGCGCCTTAAAATAGATTTAATTGCAGTGGAGTTTTTAGTGAGGGAAACGGAGTTGAAGTTGCATGAGAGAGGTCTTGGTGTGTGACCCAATTTGTGCGCAGTGAACCCAACAACCGGAGTTGCTGTTGTGCAGCATAAAATTAGCTGCGACAATTCCAAGGCAAGAATCAAGAGGAGGCACTCTATATATATATATACTCCACTCCACACTGTACACTCGATTCCATTCCCACACGCCCACGGGAAGCAATTTCCCCCGTGATCACCCTCGAAGGTAGCTGGAAAGGTATGAGGAGCATGACTTCATGTCACGCCTTTATGAGCAGCACAACACCGAGGCAAGTCGACGAGGGCAGCCCCGGTAACAAGATATTCTGCAACCAGCACCAGCTAAGGCTGAGCTGGAAATAATAGCAGTGTCATCAAGGGTTTTTGGGGGAATTAATAACAAGTGAGAAGTATCTCATGGAAATTACTATTTTAAAGCTAGAGAGAAGTTTCTTCAACCTTCTGTCTAACTTTAAACAGATGAATAATCCTTTTGTTAAAGCTAAGAGGTATTTCTAAGCTACTCCCCCGAATTAGGAAATAGTTTATGATGTCAAAAAAATATTTTAAAATATTTAAAAACGATTAAAATATGTTCTCCATATAAGGAAATATTTTATAGTATCAAAAAAACATTTTAAAATATTTAAAAACGATTCTAATAACAACCAGAAGAATGCTCCTCTGGTTGAAGCAACTCTGCTATATTAGGAAAAATTTTATAATATTTTATATATTTTATAATTGCAGTATTTATAGTAGTTTAAGTATTTACAAATATTTTATAATATTTAAAAATATTTTAAATTACCTAAACTACTACAACTTTACCCTAGTCTGTTTTTCAATGGCTTTCTTCAGCCTTCGTGAGAGATTGACCAACCTTCTCGACTCTCTTCGCTTAACCCTTCTGCGCATGGGCATTGAAGCTGCTCCGTTTCCGCTCGACTGGCCCCCTACCCGAAGGGGTGTGCAATGGGTTAAGACTTTGTGTAACTTTGCAC